GGCTTCGATTCTTGGCCAGTCGGCTGTGTCGGAGAGTGCTACTGTCCACTGTTTCTCCTCTGTTCGAGCTTTAAGTTCGTTGCACCTTGAGGTCTTGAATTCTCTTCTGATTAAGGCCTTCATTGTGTGGAAAGACATCGGTCGGTCCATGCATTGCAAAATCTTTGTCCCCTTCTTAGCAAGTGTGTCAGCAAGCTCATTGCCTTAATGCCACAGTGACCAGGAATCCATTGCAGGACCACTGTTTTGTTTTTCTCTCTCAGCAGCTGATAGAGTTTTCTACATTTCTTTATCTCAGCTGTTTTGGGTGGCTCTCTGTTTCCCATTGAGTTTATTGCTGACTGTACTCTGAGAATATAACTTTTGATAAGTTTGTCAAAGGCATGCTGGGGCACATAAATTACGAAGTAACTATTGAACTTATTATCATCTTAGATTGTCTAACTTCAAATCAAGGTTACTTTACTTCATTGGGAAAGACAATTTCGTAAAGTAGCATATCGGTAATTGTGCGCACTACTTCTTGACTCAAAATGCTTATATCTCAGGGTGTCTACTATTTATTCATATTTGTAGATTTTGAATTCTTTTCAAAGCGGGGTCGTGCAATTGCCCCATATTTCATAAAGCACTTTTTCATTCTCCTTTTTTCAAGAATGGCAGATCTATCTCCTCTTCAACAACCGCATTAATTTCCGACGAAATTCTTTCCTTCCCACTATAAATGGGCTCGTTATTCTTATCTTCGTTATCGCAAAAGGACACTCCAACGAAAACTCGCTCTAACGCCTTTTCTATTGTTGGAAAGTCTTATTCTATTCTACTTGCTACCCCTCCAGAGCATTCTTTTTCTCAAATCTGTACGTTTCTCATCTTGCTGCTTAATAATTAAGATTAGAAGTTCAAGAATGTGTCTGATCTTTCGTTTCCGAAGTGTACGGTCAAATTGGGTCATAAAAGCAACCAGTTACTTCATCTGCAGGTTTAGAAACCTTCTCCATTGTATAGTCCCAATCATTATTATTATTATATCAAATGGCAGGCGTTTTGATAGTTATCATTAGCCCTTCACTTGACTTCAGTCTACAGAGGGGGAGAAGAAACATCAAAGTGTAAAAAATTCAAGAGGGGGGGGGGGGGGAACAGAAGAGTGTATCAAAGACGAAGGTAGATAAGGTGGAAAAAAGGTGGGATGAGTACTGTGAAAGTAGTCGAATATGACATACAGTGGGGTCATGGTAGTTTGAAGTCAACTGCCAGGTAATAGGCTTTTTTCGCCGTATGAGTATACGTTGCCCAGGGTGCACCACGTGGAGGTAAGTCTATCACACACCCCTAGTCCCAATCATTGGCTACCTTGCATGCTCATTAACTTCAGAAGAGTAGTATCCAGACATTTTCTAAGCTTATTTCCATCTCTACTTTGGTGCTGTTATCCAGGTTCGGTAATCGTTAATGAGGCCTTAATATATATATTACTGGTCTAATATACGACATCGACCGATGCCTTCTGTGGTTCTTTAAAAAAACATTTTACGTTTGCTCTTTTAAATCAGTTGTTGCGTGTAGTTTGCTGCCTATTTAACCAACAATGACTAAATTACAGTTCCAGACTCAGTAATCAATAATCCAGTACCCGAGGCATAAATTCGGAGGTGTATACATTTTTCGAATCGAATTATTGGCAATTCTGTGCCAACTTTGAACAATATATATATATATATATTTCAAATGGCAGGCGTTATGATAGGTATCATCAGCCCTCTAGTTGACTTCGGGCTGCACAGGAAGGAAGAGGAACATCAAAGGGGCAAAAAGTCGAGAGGGAGGGGGAACAGAATAATGATTCACAGACGTAAAAGAGACAGACAGACACAAAGGTAGAAAAAAGGTGAGGTGAGTACTGTGAAATTAGTCGAATATGAAATGCAGTGGGGTCTAAGTAGTTTGAAATCAGAAGTCAACTGCCGATTAATAGACTTTTTTGCCGTATGAGTATACGTTGCCAAGGTGCACCACGTGGAGGTAAGTCTATCTCACACCCCACTTTGAACAATATAAATTACAGGTTATTTATCATTAAGATTATTTGGAGACAGGCAGATAGTAGAAGTGGGGGTGAATCTCTTTTTGCCTCCAGTTCAAGAACATGTACCTTTATTATTGCACTTGCAACCCATTGTTTTATGTATCAGCTCGAGATCTAAAAGTTAAGAAGTGTTTCCCTTCCGATTTACTTTCTACTTTTGGTAGTATTTATTATTTATGTATAACAAATGGCAGGCGTTTTGATAGTTATCATTAGCCCTTTAGTTGACTTCGGGCTTCACAGAGAGGAGGAGGAACATCAAAGTGAGAAGAATTCAGGAGGGGGAATAGAAGGGTGTTTTAAAGATGTAAAGAAACAGACACGAAGGCTCAGAAAGGGTAAGATGAGTAGTGGTAGGGGTCGAATATGACATACAGCGGGGTGATGGTGGTCTGAAGTGAGAAGTCCGGTGGGGTGATGGTAGTTTGAAGTCAGAAAGCAACTGCCAGTGAGGGGTGATGGTAGTTTGAAGTGAGAAGTCAACTGCCAGTCGGGGTGATGGTGGTCTGAAGTGAGAAGTCAACTTTTTTGCCGCATGAGTATACGTTGCCCAGGGTGCACCACGTGGAGGTAAGTCTATCGCGCACCCCACTTTTGATAGTCTATGTAGTTATTCATCCCTACAGTATCAGCCTGTATAAATTCGTTGGTGTAGTTAATGCAGTGTTATTACTGTTTTAGCTTAAGCGAGCGTACTTCAGTGCTTAGCAACTTGTTGGTCAAAGTTTGTCACAGATTAGCGTTGATGTGTGTGTGTGTGTGCGTGTGAGACAGATTTCCCATTTGGCAACCTACTTGATGCTATTCCGACTCAAGTCTTTTCGACTTTGTCTGGCGGTTTGTGGGACAGCAATTATTATGGGTTGTTATCTCATCCAGGGAGAATATTATTTGAAATAATAAATCGCCTCTATGTGGCCATTCAGATCCTTAAAGGATAACAATTATCTATATTGATGCTTAGCTGTAAATGCCTAAAGTTCATTTGAGTTGTAATTTATTTATTTTTCAAATCGGTTTAAGATTTCGACTGGATATCGGATTTTTTGAATCTAAATACAGGTTTATTCACCAGACACTGCCGTTCTTGTTCAATCTGTTGTGAGTTAATAGGAAGATGAATTGATGTAGGGAGTATATTATAAATTCTGGAATCTCTACTAATAATAAGCTCCAATTCTTCCGCTCGTGTATCGCCCCGTGTTTTGCCAGTTCCATCGAAACAGTTGATCAGGCTTTCACGAGTGACCAAAAAATTTGTGACCTCGCACCACATGGATGGATGCGTTAACTTATGTGTCGCCGACGGTCGTAATATCCACTACTTGATGGACGAATCGCTATTTTATTAGAACGTAAAAGTGAAATATAAGTAAGAACATATTAAGTCCTTTTGTGCCACTATTATCTCTTTGCTAAAGTGCAATTGTCTGCGTTAACTTCATTCGTAGTGCGTTTTGAAAGTGGGACTATTTCGTGAGATAGCTTAAACCCTTCGTTAATCTATTTCCATTTGTAAAATTGCTATTTCTATCCAACTTGTGACTTTACTGGAAAGAAGAGGAAGGTTGAATTCACCCCATTGTGATTCGTATCACTGCTTTTACGTTTGTGTTTATTGGAATCATTAATAGGCATCATGTCTTGAAGAGGCTCTCGAAGTTGGCATTAGCTTTACTTATATTCGTAAATCATTCAAAGCTATGTGATTGTGAAAGGTGGCTTGCGTCGTCTTAGCGAATAAAACTTTACAATTATATCGTTATAGAAACTTTCGGTACCGAAATAGGTTTGTCGCTCATGACGCCATTGGTCAAAGTACGCTTCCATGATTTTCTCTTTTTGCTCCAGTCAACCTTTACTGTCACCCTCTTTAATGCTACCTAGAACGCTCTATTAGTTCATCTTTCCAAAAAGCCTTATCTTTGTCATTATGGGCTACGAAACCAGAAGCAAACAGACGGAGTGAGCCATTATCTTTGATTTCGGGGGGGGGGGGGTGTGCGATAGACTTAGGTCCAAGTGGTGCACCCTGGGCAACGTATACTCATACGGCAAAAAAGTCTATTACCTGGCAGTTGACTTCTGACTTCAAACTACAATGGCCCAACTGTATGTCATATTCTACCACTTTCACAGTGCTCATCCTACCTTTTCTCTGCCTTTGTGTCTGTCTCTTTTAGAACTGTAAATCACTCTTCTGTTCCCCACCCCTCAACTTTCTGTTACTTTGATGTTCCTTCCCTCTGTGAAGCCCGAAGTCAGCTATAGGGCTAATGATAACTATCAAAACGCTTGGCATTTGAAATAAATAAATAAATCTTTGATTTCGTTTGCCAAAAATCGAAGCTAAGATGTAAAGGTTTATTGATATTGAATTGGTAAATATCATACAGACAAATTTGATGTGAGAGGTTGTCTGCCTGCTGAAATGAACAGATTTCGATTGCCAAATTTCTGTTTACTTTTCATTCTTACGTCATCACGCTTTAGTGTCAATTTAAAAGTACCATTAACGTAATCCATGTCCTGGTAACTTATCCTAATTTAATTATCTCCTTTCCGTTCATTCAATGCGCTACCAAGCTAGTGGTTGGACCAGTGGTATTGTCCTATTTTGCCAATTCTTAAGCGAAAATGCAACTTTTTCTCGTGCCTAGAGTGTTGAAATTGTTCAACAAGGCCCGAGAGTCTCACTTTAGTCTCAACTATTTTGGCCCAATGTTCCAACGTCCTCTTATGATTTGCGAATCAACTTTCCAACCAGGAAGAAGAAAAAGCAAGTCCTTGCTGTTGAAGCGAAAGCTTATTACAGTCTTATTCGACTTGTGCACCGTGTGCTGCAATTTGCATTAGTTTATTTAAACCATTTAAGGGTTGATCATTATTTCAATCACAGTTTGAAGAAAATACAAAACGATTGCTCAATTTCATCAAAAGGGCAATTATTTAACAATCACTCATTGCCATACTTCCGCTTTGACATTTCATAAATGGATCTCTTTGTTCACGTCTGCTTATTGCTTAGTTGACCGTTGGCCCCTCGAAACTGTTAAAATAGCTGGGTCTCGTGTGTACTTAAAATGCACAAATAAGATTTTCCTAAATCTTTTTCGTTTTATTGATCGGAGACGGACGAGTAAGCCATTGTTTGCTTCTTATTAAGTTCAAAAAGATATCTTGTTTATGAGTTCATTTTAGAATGATCATGTCTAGATGGCGATTGCCTCTCAGTTTTGGCTATTAAATGGCGCAAATGTATTGAGAAGGTATAATTCAATTATCTTAACAGTAAGCTTTCAGTCTTCTACTCAACGCCAGCTTCGGTTACTCCTCTGGGCACAAAATCTTAATTCTTTGTAATGCCTGAAAGCGTTCTGTTGGAGCCTAGCTTTATATCATCATTGCATTGAAGTATCTATGCTCTCTCTCTTTGTTAGAAAATGTTGTTACAGCTCTTCTCATTTTACTTGCAATTATCCTTTTTCCACCAAACTTTCGCCTCTTATTTTATTACTTTTAGGTCTACGGTCGTCGTTGGACATCATAGTGAAGCTCCCACTGCGGAACTCTGCAATACTTTTATTGCGCCGTCGAAGGTGAGTGCAATGACAGTTTCAATTTGTCCTGTCTCTCTCTCTCTCCTCTTTCGGCTTATTCGTTTATCCTGGAAAAATGGTAATAAACTCCATGGGGATTTTAGCATATAAGTGTATAGGAGAAAATCGTCTGGATTTCATTTCCTACTTTGATTTGTTCTTTTTCTTCCTTCTTGTTGGATGTGAAGGGGTGGTGGTGGGGGGGGGGTATTGTTTTAGGTTACGGTTTCCCATGAAGTATTTAGCCTTACCTATTGTATACTAACAAAAGGCTTTATATTTCACATTATGGGAATCTCGTATTA